TAGGTTTGAGGCCCGTGTGACATCCCACGCTGACTTCAGGAGGATGTTCAAATGACCTGGTCAAGCGCTCAGGTGGGAGACCGGGGGAAAGGCGCAGGGGAGTCCCGAATGCCGACCAGGATCCCAGTAAGCACAGCTGGAGCCCTCGTGGTGGTGGGGCTGGCATGGGGATAATGGAGAGCAGGAAGGCAGGGGTGAAGTGGCTGGAGCGGGGCAGGGCCAGGAGGAGGGTGGGGGCCCTCGTGAAGGCCACAGCTTAGGAGTTTGGGATGTATTTGGGACGCTCCCGCATTCATGCACTCGCTGCCTTGTTCCCAGTGAGGGACCGCGCGGTGGGTGTGGCCGGGATGTGCTGGGGTCTGGGGTTCACGGCAGGCTCCACCACTTACCTGCTCTGTGCCCTTGGGCAAAATACCTAACCTGGGGGGGGGTGGAGGGGGTTAACTGGGCAAGTGACTTGAACGCAGTGCCCCACCTTCCTTTCCTTTTTTATTGCTTTGCAAAACGGGCATAATAACGGGGCTTCCAGAGTAAATGCCTGCAAAGCACTCGGAACAGTTCTATGCACGAGGCATGTACGCGGCTAAATGCTAGTTGCTGGTCCGTTCGTTCATCCGACCAACGTTTAGCAAGCACCCGGGTGCAGGGGGCCTGCGCTGAGCGCCGTGGTACAGCTGTGCAAACGGGCATTCCCTCTGCATCTCAGAGCTAGGGATCGACACAAACAAACCTAAACCCCGGTACAGCACGACCCGCTGTGAAGGGGTAAGGGCGGGGGGCTGCCTGGAGGAGGGCACCTCTAAGCTGAGTGGGGCAGACAGTGGCGTGTCTACGGCTGCCTCCCAAGGGCCAGGCACAGGGCTTAGCGCACAGTAGGCGCTCAACTGAGCTTTGGGACTTCCCACTCCTGCAAATCCTGGGTCAGTCCTAGCAGCCCAGACAAGGGTGAGGCGGCCGGGACCAGCTGGGCCCCAGGGCTGTGGGGTGGCTGCTTCTGTGGGTGGACGCTAACCAAGACTGTTGCCTTGACCCCTGACCTGCGTAGAGCCCAGCGTTCCCGCCAGAACCGCCAGGGAGAAGGAAGGAGGACTCGGCCCCCCAGCCCCAGCCCCGGCCCCAGCCAACGCAAACACGGCCGCCCACTCGGCAGGAAGACACAATGCAGCCAAAGCTCAGGAGACCCAGCTGGCTTCGGGGCTCCGCAGCGGCCGGCAGGATCCTCCTGCCGTCCAGCCCCCACAGGCAGGCCCCTCTGCTCCAGCCACCCAGTCTCCCGGCTGCCCCATGTTGTCCCCTTGACCTGAAACATCCTTTGCTCTTTTGTCAGCTCCTGCTACCCTTTAGATCTCAGGGAGGCCCGCTAACCATGTGTGTTCTCAGAGCATAAATCCTCATTCACGTCATCCTGGGCTTAACCCGTCTCCTGGCAGACTGCACCCCAAGGCCAGCAGGGCTGAGGCTTAGCTCAGGCTTCAGGCAGCCAGCTGAACCAAGGCACAGAGAAGGCCTGCACACGGCAGTCAGACCTTAGCCTGGGGAGGGGGCAGGAAAGAGCCCACCTGCCTTACCCCTGCAACTACCCCCTCTCCAGGGCTCAGCGCTCACCTGCCTGGGGACTTGCGGGTTTTCCTGTCATTCCAGGAGATTCTCAGAAATCCAAGGAAGTGTTCAAGCAAGAAGGGAGGATCTCTCCACCCTCGCCAAAAGCCAAGGCTCAGACCAGCCTAACCCGGCGGGCTTATCATGCCCAAGTGCAGCACGGTCTGGGTGGAACCCCGGAGCGTGCCAAGTACTGGCTTTGTGACCCTGTGCAGCTGACTTTACTTCCAGAGCCTCAGTTTCCCTGCCTGTAAAAGAACTCAGGCCGGGTGGGAGCCCCCGGAATAGTGTTTCTCATCCCTGCTGGCCATGCACCTCCCCCAGCCTGCCCGCTTCCCTGGGCCTTGGTGGACGGCGAGGAGCCGCCAGACCCTGGTGCTGCCTTTCATCCCAGACAGGAAGGCTCAGCTTGGCGACTCTGGGATTTGGAACAGATGTCTGCGAGCTCACAGGGGGCTGGGAAAGCAGCGACCTCCATCCCGGGGCTGACCAGCCACCTCTCCCTCCCCTGCCCCTCACCCCACTCCCTCCAGGGGCCTCAGGCCAGAGCCAGCCACCCATTCTCCACTCCCATGAGCCCCAAGGAGTGGGGGACCTGCCAAGGAGCCAGCAGAAGCAGCCTGAGGCCCAGGGGGAGAGGATGGGGGCCTCCTGGGAACACCCTGACAATCGCAGACCTCTTCTTCCCCCGATATTATGCAATCCACAGCTCAGCAGAGAGCAAACCAAAGCCGAATGGAACCCAAAGTGGGCTAAATCTGGGGCCACTGTGGGTCTCTGGCGACCCCGGTGCAGAAAGAGCGAATGGAACCCAAAGTGGGCTAAATCTGGGGCCGATCTGGGTCTCTGGCGACCCCGGTGCAGAAAGAGGGCCCAGGGTCAGGCCATCTTTTGGGAGCCAGCTCGGCAAGCATTTCCCAATCCCTGGGTAGAGGTCACCCCCAGGGGAACCTCAGCCCTGAGCTGTTCTCCGCAGAGTGGCCTTGGCCACACGCAAGGACTGTCACGGCTCCCGTAAGCACGCGGCCAACCTGAGCTCACGGAGCTGCACAACCAGGGGGAGGTGGCCAGTCTCAGCCCCATTTCACAGGGGAGGACGTGGAGGCACAAAGAGGTGGCAGCTTCGCCTAGTGAGCGGCTGAGCCGTGCCTGCGTCCAAAGCTCGTTTGGTGATTTCTACTCTGCTCTGTCTCTGGGGACAGAGCAGGCCAACGAGATCCTGAGCTGGGTCCAGAAGCACAGGACAGAGGAGGGGACACCGCCACCCATTCATTCCGGCTTCCTTTCTTCGTTTGCACAGACATTCCAGAACTCCTCCTCCATGCCTGGTGCCGCACAAAGTGACGGGAAGAACACTGGCTCAGGCTAAGGTGTGTGTGTGTGTGTGTGTGTGTGTGTGTGTGACTATATGAGTGTGTGAGAATTTGGGTGAGTGTGTATGTGAGGGTGAGTGTGTGAGTGTAAGGAGATGTGTGTGAGGGTGAGTATGTGGGTGTGAGAAGATGTGGATGAGCACACAAGTGCGAGTAGACGTATGTGAGTGCACGAGTGAGTAGATGTGTGTGGATGAGCACAGGAGTGTGAGTAGATATATGTGAGTGACTGTGTATGAGTGTGTGGCTGAGCATATAAGTGTGAGTAGATGTGTGTGGATGTGAACGTGAGGGTCCCTGCTGCTAAGGGTCCTAGGCAGAGCTCAGCAAGGTCACCCAGCTAAGCACAGGGTCCCGCACACCAGCGCTCAGCAAATGGGAACTGCCCCCCAAACCCAAACCCATGATGCTTCCTCGCCCCTCCCACTTTGAGCCTGGGCTGAGCCTCTTGCCTGCCCCAGGGTTCCACTGACGCATCAGCCAAGCCCCCGCCCTCGGTCATGGAACAGCATATCCCCCCACAGCCCCCACCCTGCCCCAGATTCCTTCCCCAGTGGTCTTGGGGTTCTGCCAGCCCCGTCCAGCCAGTTCCCCCAGACTCCCTCCCCACGCTGGTTTCCGGAGAGACCCCGCCCCATCTAGCGGTCCTGATAGGCCAGTGAAGGTGACAAAACCCCAGGGAGCTGAGCTTCTTGGGGGTGACAGCCCACAACTGCTCTGCTGAGGGGCTCAGTGTCCCCACCCCCATCTCACTTCAATGTCATCTCCCAGTCCTCCCACAAGTGCTATCACCCAAGGCTAGGAAGAGCCAATTCCATGGCTGGGTGGAGCTCGTGTGAAGGAATTTATGCTCCAACCTTGGATATACATGGATGTTCCTATCCAGTCATTTAGCAGCTGTGTGTCTTTGGGCAAAACACTTAACATTTCTGAGCCTCAATTTTCTCATCTGAGAACTGGGGTTATGGTCCCATAACCCCTAATCCAAACTGCTTAGCTGTGGATGTGTTTTGGAATTCCGAATTTTTCAGAGTTTAGAGAGATGATGTAGTCCTTAGACCATGGATTGTGTTAACACCCCCAGCTGGGATTGCCCCCACAGGCTGTACTTAAATGAGATTTCAGTAGCAAAATGTATGAATATTCACTCTAACTGGGATAAACAAGGTCTATAAATAGCCTCCGGTGGAGTTTAGCAGCCAAAATGAGTTACAAAAACACTTGGATTTTCAAAGTTTAGGGAGATTTCAAACCCACAGACAAGGGAGTGTGAACGGGTGGACCTCCCTCGCGCCCCCCTCCCCCACAAAGGGCTGCAGGGGCTGCGACAGATAAGATGCCGATCTAGTGCCTGGCGCATCTTGGGGCCCAGGAAGGACCTGGATTTGGCTGGACTTGAAGAGGAAGGAGATACTCCCATTTCTAAACGTGAGTGAAGGGCTGGGTCCAGACTCAGGATGCGGAGACCAGGTATTTGAGGGGCAGGGGGGAGAGGAGGGAGGCGCGGGAGGGGCAGGGCGGCCATACCTTCAAGACCAGCCACCCCACAGCAAGCTTCGCTCCTGCTCGGAGAAGGGGGGGGGGGGGGCAACCTTCCCGGAGGTGAATGCCTTGTCTTCTAGCCCCAAGAATACATCCAGGACTGCACACAGCCCCAGGGATTCATGAGCCCCCAAAGTCGACCAGCTGACCCATGATTAAGAGCTCCTGCCCTAGAGGGCAGACTAGTCCACCCCTGGGTGGGTCCCCCCTTTTCCCACAAAGCGCTGGGTCTAGGAGGGACCAACCGTTGCAGGGCACGGTCCTTGCATCCAGATCCACTGCTCTGTAAAGGGCTCCGGGGAGGCTTCCCGCCCCTGCCAGCCCCAAGGGGGCACCCATCAGTCCACCCTTCCAGTTATGGGGTGGGGGGTGGTGGTGCACGGGCCCCGTTCCGTCTACGGCCTACCCAGGGCGCGCAGCACCCCGACAAGCTGCGCTCCGGGGACGAGGCGGCGGCGGTGCCCGCGGGCCCGAGCCGGCGCTTACCCAGGCGGAGGGTGATGTTGACCGACGTGGGGTACTGCACGCCGAAGGCCATGGACGGGCTCTGCCACCAGGTGCTGTCGTCCTGGCTGTGGAAGTCGGTGAGGTAGGAGGCGTCGTGGTGGCGCCGGGGGTCGGCGGCATCGCAGCGCTGGCACTGCGCCCCCGCGCCCGGCGCGCCCACGTGCGGGCAGAAGTCCTCGGGCGG